GAAAATGCAGCATTGATTGCAAGATGGGCTCAACAGCAGGGGAAGATGAGTGTTGTTAGTGCTACATTTGAGAGTAGCCTAGGTTTGTCAGCTTATGTCCAGTTCTCATATTATCTTGAGCTGCAAAAGGCAGGTATATGTATGGCAATGAACAAGGAACCTTCCCCTTCTATAGCACATGGTCTTGGAAATTACGGCTGGCTTAAAGAAGATATAACTTCTGAACCTCTGAATATTTGTCGTAATCCATGCAGTGGCTTCATAGAAGCATCTGTTGATGATGCTGGCCGTCTCTTGGGGAACTTTCAAGTCGACAACAAGGTCATCCTTTGAAATTTTCCTGGGGAAGAAGTTCATAAATACCAGTTAACAGTTAATTCATATGGTTTCTCTTTTTTCATCAATGTACGTCAGATTGGATCAAGCAATGAAGTAAGCACTGGAATTTTAATTTTTATGTTAATATTTTGTATCCTTCGGAGTCTTTGATCCATTGAATTCGCACAAAAAGCTCTAGGGTATTTAATACCTGTGTAATTCCAGATAATTTGGCACATGATTAACTGCAAATAATGGAAAGCAAATAGTTCCTGGGTGCATTTTTTTTCTTTTGGTTTCTTGTACATAGTTGGTGGAAAAAATTAGAGGAGTTCCATTAATGTGGGGGGAGTGAGTTACACATTTCTCTATGTCATCTTTTGTACTGATACATGAAGAGTTATGTCTATGTTGCATGGTTATCTATCCACATTTTGTATACCTAGCAGCTGTAACTAAAAAACTTCTTTCCCTTTTTTTCACTTGTTAAAATGGCTTTCCATTTGCAGCACCACTAGTTAGACATACTGAAATTGAGTTAGGTGTGGTTATTCTTTATCACTCTTTCTTAATTTGAATGATGCAGAATAATGTACTTGTGTTTCTCCATGGGTTTCTTGGAACTATTGAAGACTGGATACCCATCATGAAGGCCATCTCAGGATCTGCAAGATGCATTGCAGTTGACCTAGAGAAATGACAATTGAAGACTGGATACCCATCATGAATGATGCAGAATAATTTTTTTTTGCAAAAAATGGCAATTGCCGACCAAGAGTTTTGGTCGCAAAAAATACATCTATTGCCGACCAAAACAACTCTTTGTCGTGGAAACTCACTTTTGGCGACTAAAAGTTTTGGTCGCGAAAAGTAACAAATGGCGACCAAATTTTTTGGTCGTGGAATGTCACAATTGGCGACCAAACTTTCTGGTTGTGGAATGTCACAATTGGCGACCAAACTTTCTGGTTGTGGAATGTCACAATTGGCGACCAAACTTTCTGGTTGTGGAATGTCACAATTGGCGACCAAACTTTCTGGTTGTGGAATGTCACAATTGGCGACCAAACTTTCTGGTTGTGGAATGTCACAATTGGCGACCAAACTTTCTGGTTGTGGAATGTCACAATTGGCGACCAAACTTTCTGGTTGTGGGAATGCCACAATTGGCGACCAAACTTTTTGGTCGTGGAATGTCACAATTGGCGACCAAACTTTTTGGTCGTGGAATGTCACAATTGGCGACCAAACTTTTTGGTCGTTGAATGTGAGAATTGGCGACCAAACTGTTTAGTTGCGAAATGTGTCAATTGGCGACTAAGATATTTGGTCGGGAAAATATCACTTTTCGCGACCAAAGTGTTTTAGCGACAAAATGAATTAGTCGCGGTAATTAAATATTTAGCGACCAAAAATTTAGTCGGCAAATCCAACTTTTGCCGACCAACCAAAATTCTGGTCGCTAATTACTTTTGCCGACCCTCAATTGGCGACCAAAGTAGCGACCAAAAAAATTGGTCGCGGATAACTTTTGCCGACCAAAAATAGACTTTTAGCGACCAATTTTTTTGTTGCCAAAAGTGTTAATTGCCATGCTATGTCAACTGCCTCTTATATTATAGTAAGATAAGATAAGATAAGATATATATGCGCAAATGTAATGTAATGTCAAAATTTTTCAAATGTTCATTCCTAAATATATATAACCTAATGTCTCTCCCAACATCCTCTTTCTTCATTGTATTGATTGTTAAGCTATTCTTAATTCTAACGCTCTATTTAGTTAGTAAAATGAAATAAAATAAAATAAAATGGTTCATTCTTTAAATTCTTTTATAAAATAATTATTATTTTATAATAGTAAATGATGATTTCATTTATAATATATTTATTATTATTTTTTTAACCAACCAAATATAAAAATAAATAATTTAATAAAATAATTATTACATTTTATTTCATTTCAGTCAACCAAAAGTGTAAGCAGTAACAACCAACTAGTCCTAGCCTAGTTGGTCACCATGTCTTTCTTAAGACGTAGTCTCAAGAAGGTCATGGGTTCAATTCCCCTGAAGGTTTCTAAGGGTGGGAAGATTTTCTCCCATAGGTGTTAATCTAACAACTAACAACTATCATTTGCCGATCAAAAAGAAAAAATGTGTGACCAGTAACATTCACATACAACTCTGAGAAGATTCAAAATTTGTGTTCAAACTTTCTTGGACCATAACAAAAGAAAATATCTTTTGATATAGCATCCTTCGGAAAAAGGGTTTTATGGGTAATTTATTAAAAGAAAAAAAAAAAAAAAAAAAAAAAAAAAAAAAAAGTGTGAGCAGTAACATTCACATACAACTCTGAGAAGATTCAAAATTTGTGTTCAAACTTTCTTGGACCATAACAAAAGAAAATATCTTTTGATATAGCATCCTTCGGAAAAAGGGTTTCATGGGTAATTTATTCCTGCACGTCCCTCTAAGTTCACTGGAAGATTGAAGGATCTCATTTTTCATCCAAACACACTCTAAGATTGAGTTTGAATCTTCAAAATCCATGAAATAGAAGCTAAACTTTTCACTTCTAGTTTCTCTTTTTTATCCTCTACAATTTCAAGATCCGAACACAAGTTAAAAATTTTAATAATAATAATAATAATTCAAAACAGTAGAATTTCTAACAAATTCATTGAAAACAGTAGAATTCACTAAACATTGGGGACTTATTTTGCTTTAACACACTTGTACTTCTAAGAGACGTACATGAAAAGTTGAACAATGCACAATCCTACAGCAAAACCATAAACCAGTTACATTGATCACAAGGCAACAAAACAATACAACCAAGTACAAAACCCAATAATATGTAGTGCTCAAGCACATCCATGATTTATTGTCTTAGACTTGAAACTGGATAATACAGTGCTCTTGGCCTGAGCAAACAGTTGAAGGATTTCTCCATAGTTGTGACTTCCATTTGATCAAAGAACGAATCAGTAAAGAAACGAGAAAAATTATAGATATGCTCCTAGTCGGCAACAAGGGCTTGGAGCAAGCGAGGAATAATAATAATAATTCAAAACAGTAGAATTTCTAACAAATTCATTGAAAACAGTAGAATTCACTAAACATTGGGGACTTATTTTGCTTTAACACACTTGTACTTCTAAGAGACGTACATGAAAAGTTGAACAATGCACAATCCTACAGCAAAACCATAAACCAGTTACATTGATCACAAGGCAACAAAACAATACAACCAAGTACAAAACCCAATAATATGTAGTGCTCAAGCACATCCATGATTTATTGTCTTAGACTTGAAACTGGATTGCTCCATAGTTGTGACTTCCATTTGATCAAAGAACGAATCAGTGAAGAAATGAGAAAAATTATAGATATGCTCCTAGTCGGCAACAAGGGCTTGGAGCAAGCGAGGAATTGGAGACATGTTCACATCCAGAATCCCCTCTAGGATCCGAACTACCTGACCCATTGCTGGCCTATCATTCTCATCATCTTGGATGCACCAACAAGCAACTTTACAAATTCTCCATACCTCTTCAATGTCAACATGTTTCTCCAACCTATGGTCTAACAAATTACGGACATCGCCACCTTCTGCGACTACACTTGCAGCCCAAATTGGAAAGAATTTAACTATCCTTTCTTCGGATTGATCAGTGTTTCTTTTTCCTGATATCAATTCAAATAGCATCATACCGTAGCTGTACACATCAACTTTGGTGGTAATGGCCAACCCTAATATCCACTCTGGCGCAAGATAGCCCATTGTACCTCTCATGGTTGTCAGAACCCTGCTGAATTCTCGCCCAAGAAGCTTTGCCAAACCAAAATCTGCTACTTTTGGGTGGAAGTCGACATCTAATAGAATGTTCGCTGGCTTTATGTCACAATGTATGATACAGTCTCTACAGTTTTCATGGAGATAAGCCAACCCCCTAGCTGTCCCTAGTGCAATTTGGTACCTTTTGTTCCAGTCCAAGACCTTTGACTCCTTTTCATGAAAAAGATGGGAATCCAAGGATCCATTCTGCATGTAATCGTATACCAACAACTTCCTTTTACCTTCAGAGCAGAACCCGCAAAGCCGAACAAGATTAACATGTTGGATAGTCCCAAGGGTGCTGACTTCTACTCGAAATTGCTTCTCTCCTTGGCTGATGCTTTCCAGCTTCTTCACAGCTATGACAGTGGAATCAGGCAATGTCCCTTTGAAAACAGAACCAAAACCTCCTCCCCCAATTTTCCCCGAGAAATTTTTGGTTGCTTTTTGCAGATCTTTGTATCTAAATGCAACCAATGAACCATAAACTGTTGCCATCCTCTCTTCATGCAGAAAGCTCAACCAGCGAGAAGTGTTTCGCAAAAGGAAACAAGGGGCTGCTACAATGCCGTTTTGTCGCTTCAAGAGAACAACACACACGAGGACCAAGATGACTACCAATGCAATTGAACCCACAACAGCACCAATAATAATCCCCTTTTTAAATTTAGGCTTTGGAAACTCAGAAGCAGCGAGTCTGAGATAAAGAGTGTTTCCGCTACCATCCTGCAGATTCATGAGCTCCCCAATCCAAATTGAGCACCCATTACTATCATAAGCGTAAGCAGTGCAAGAGCAATTATTCAAGCAAGAAGATTCACATTCAGGGGAACTGCCAACAGCCACAGATTGAGGAAATTCAGGCAATCTCGTGTTGGAAACTTCCCAAAACCTGTCTCTCTCTCGATTAGCAGCAGTAATATTCCCACACAGCAACTCGGTTCTCCTCACACACCCCCCAGTGTAATCACTCAAATTCCAATCATTGAGTGACTTAGGATTGAAACCCGTCAAACAATTACAGAAGGGTTGGATAATATTATTGCATATTCCATACTGCCCGCAGAAATCATAAACCTCACATTGCTGTCTCGGCTGTGCGTAAAACAAATTCCACTGCTTTGTGCTTTCCAACCAAGTGAGTTGTTGGTTTTGCCCCGAAATATCCATAATCAATCTAGAAATAATCGAAGGATTATACATGGAATATGTGAAGTAACTCTCATTCTCGTTGTCGTGATAGCTAAAATTAAAGATGTAATTAGCTCTCATTTCAGGTATTAAGCTGAAAATCTGCCCATTCCAAGGGCCAGTAGTCCAATACTGTTTAGACCCATTCCAAAATATAACATACTGACTATTATTTGCATCAAGACTAAGAGAATACAGTCCTGTTGAAGGGTCTTCTGAGTTCTTCCATGAAGTGAAACGTTGGTGTGTGTTGGTAAGCTTGTTGTAAGCAATCTTTGCACCAGGCAACCAAGTGTGAGCAGGGAGATCAAAACTTTGCCAAATTGGTTGATTTGAATTAGACCCATCTCTCAAAATCAAATTCCCATCATCCCCAAGAACAGCCACCACAGAATTGGAAGTGGTAGAGTTCTGATTTGTGGACCAAATCAGGGTTTGGGATTCATTTAAAATCACCAAATTACCATCTAAGATTTTGAGTACAGAGGAATACTTATCAGAGATGGGATTATCTCTATTGGCTACCCAAACTATTGTTAGAGTAGATACTTTGGCGTACCACATGGATATGTAATAGTATGAGGAATTACCTGGTTTGTAGAAACCCAGTTCAAAATTCCCACCAGCAGAGGTTATGGTCTGGTTCCCAGAAAGAGATTGATTTGCAGAGATGGTGTCAGCTCCATGGGAGAGATGGTTGATGAAAGAGAAGAAGAGGAGAAAGAAAATCGAGAACATGAAGGATGAGTTGTTTTTTATACCTATTATTGGCTCAAAGTTTTGTTGATATTATTATATAATCAGATGTTTGAATGAGCCTTAAAATGCAACCAAGGTGATGATAGAAGAAGAAGAAGCAGAAACTTAGGCCATGTTTGTTTGGGTGGACATGAGTTTGGGATTAGACTAATAGTTCAATAAAATTATTAATCCGATGTTTGGTTAAACAATTTAAGTACGGACTAATTATTTTAAACTTGACTATTAGTTAAGATAGAATACATAATCCAACGGATTCGTATTATACCCATTATTGGCTCAAAGTTTTGTTGATATTATTATATAATCAGATGTTTGAATGAGCCTTAAAATGCAACCAAGGTGATGATAGAAGAAGAAGAAGCAGAAACTTAGTGGCTGATATTTTCTTATTTCAGTATCAACAATTTAATGTATGTCAATTTCTTCTGTCTTACTCCACGTCAATAATGTTTCTTTATTTGATCATCTAACCCCTTTCCAACAATTTAATGTATGTCTCTAATTTCTTCGGTCTTACTACTCTTCTTTGGACTTCACTCTCAGTGTAAATGATAAAAAAATTATGTATTTATAACTGGATTGGAGTCAAAAAAACTTACGGACTGTTTGGCCAATTCTTTTGTTCAAATAGAATTATTCAAAAATTTCAGAGTTATCCACAAATATTGCTTTTTTAAATGATAAAATATATTTGTAATCCTTAAATTATGCATCTGATGTTACTTTGGTCCTCCAATTTTAATTTTAGGATAAATTATAGTAAACCTCTTTAAATATGACCTATTTACATTTTACACCCTAAATTTTAAAACCTAACGGTTAACTCTCTAAAATATTAGAACTGAAGTGAATTTATACTTTACAAGTAATTTTATAATTGTTCACTCAGTGAGTTTTTTGAGTCATCTATAATTGAACTAATTTAATTAAAATGACACAAAATAAAAATTTTATCATAATTATAGTTTAAAGCAATACAAAAAGAGTTAATTGTTAAAACATCCAATCGAAGAAGGGTATAAGGTATTAGGTCCAGTGAATATTTTTTATTTGTTAAAGGATCACAATTTGTGAAATAATTTGGTAAGAAGTCATTTTGTTAGTTTTGAAGGACATTTTTTTTCCAATTTTATCTCTTAATTTATGTGCTGACTCTTTTTTTACTATCTATTCAAATTTATATCTATTTGTTCAAATTATTTTCTATTTGTTCAATTTTTTTTTTACTACCTACTCAAATTTATATCAATCTGTTGAATTTTTTTCTATCAATTCAAATTTTTCCCCATATTTGTTCAAAATCGGTGGGTTTCTCTCTTTATCTGTTTAAAATCTGTGAGTTTCTCTCTCTATCTGTTTAAAATATGCCTATAGGTTTCTCTCTATTTGGTTAAAATTTGTAGGTTTCTTTCTCTGTCTAAAATTTCACAAACTTGTTTCATATCTGTTGGAATTATTCACTGCAACAAAACCACACCAACAAATCATATAAACACCTGATCTCTTCTCATTCCTCATCATCTCTTCTCTTTCTCTATCTGTCCCTTATCTTTTTATCTGTCATAGTGCTAAGTTGCTTCTAGTTAGGGCTTTCACAAAGATCTGCATATGTTCAACACAAGAATAAAAAATAAATAAATAACTTATTTAGTAATTCAAATTTAATATACAGAGAGACAACAGATCCAACAACAACAACAACAAAAAATTCACAGATCCAGCAAAAAAATTATAATAACTTAATCAAACATCCAACATTAAATCAACTACTAATAAAAATTAATATATTAAGGATGGAATCATCTGATATTCAAAATTTCCCAAAAAAAATGATTTCATTATATCGAATCTATAATCACAACTACGAAGAAGATCTATGCGATAACTTGCAAAAAAATCACAAAAAACTACTTCATCTATTCATGTAATGAACTTACATAGATTGAAAAATCAAGGAATATTAATACAAACTTGAATTAGCGAAAGGATTGAGAGAAATTGATGAGCTCTGAGAATGTTCTGAGCTTTCAATGTCTATTTTTTGTATAGAGAGATGGGGGTTTTGCAATGGCCAAAATCAAGTGGGGGTTTTTATAGATGAAGCAAACGAAGAGGTTTCACATTTCGAAGCTTAGAAACAGAAAGTGACCATTGTTCCTGCAAGGTGTGGTAGGGGGGAGAGAGAGAGAGAGAGAAGGGGTGAGGAGGATAAGAAGCTGGATCTTGGAACCGTAGTCATCGAGGGCGACCGAAACCCCAACGACGAAGATGATCTGAGGAAGATGGCTACGGTGATGGACACGGCGGCGGGGGACAATGATGGAGACGATCTATGGCAATTTGTGGGGATCAAGAGGTCAGTGATGAAACCCTAATGACATTGAAGATCAGTAAGGAAACCCTAAAAACGGGTCCACTCTCCGCCTCTAATGATTCACTACCTCATCATCACTGGTAGTGACGCTGTAATAACCCGACCCTCTTTTATGCTTTAAGATTTTAATTATGCGCCTAATTGTATGCTTGATGTGAAATTCCATGTGAAATTGTGTTTAATTATGTGAAATATATGATTATGGGATCATATCTATCGATTATGAGAAAAATCTGTTGAAATTGAGACATTTAGACAAGAAATTGGAAGCCTCAAAAGCACGATAACCCAAAATTGACTTTATAATTATGATCAACATGATTTTTATGACATAATATTAAGTTTTGTAAAAATTTGATTCGTAATGAATTAATTGGAAATATTTAGGCCCAACACTTTTAAGCCTTTAACCTTGATAGATATAAGGGTCTTCTAAGAGCCTTAGATGACTTGGTCTAAAATATCTCTTGAGAAAGAGAGTGAGAGTGCTAGAGAAGAAGAGGAAAGAGAGGAGGCTCAAACAAGAGTGAGGATTGAAGAAATTGAGAGGAGTTTTAAAGATTAGAGTTTAAGGTATGTATAATTTAACTTAAATACCCTAAAGTCCCCTTTGATTTATGAATATCAAGCACTAAAATGAAGTGTTATAATCACCTAAGGTAGGGTTTTGACCTAAAGAACTTGTTTGAGATAAAAGCCATGAAAACCATCAAGTTTCATTGTATTTATTTAAATTAAGAGTTAATTCTTGTATTTTGGGTTGTTTTGAGTTAGCTTGAGAAAATAGCTTCAAGAGTTGCATGTATATATCTATATGTAGATGTGTATTATAATTATAGCTTGTGATGAATATGTTTTGAGATCCCGGCATCTAAACACTGCTCAATGTGCGTATTATTTGAATATTAAATTGCTTTCGTCTTAGGCCCTTATTGATCATTTGATTATTTGATTTTGAGGCCTATGTTCAGGCCGGTCATGCCCAAACTTTTAGGAGCAAGTTTGGGTCATGATAGACGCCTTGTTCCGATCGCGATAGCCACAGAACCGCCAAGATCGAAAACCCTAACCAGTTATGGAGGGAGAGAGAGAGAGAGAGAGGATGGGTTTAAGAAATGCAAAATTGTTAATAACTCTAATGTGTGTGAAGTATTTGATGTGATGTTTTAGTTTTAGTTTTAGTTTTAGTGTTTTTTTTTTTTTTCCACCTCACTAGAACTTAGTTAGAGTTTTAATTTTGGAAGGATATATCATTATTGTTGAGAAATGTAATTTTGTATAGATAAGAAATTTATTATTCTGAACAAATATGAGTGTGTGAACTTTTGAGGGTAGTTTATTTATCAACTCCGCTAGGTAGCTCGAAACTTACAACCCCGAATGGCTCGAAATATTTTCGTGAAACCCACACATTTGTTAAACAAAAACAAAAGAGAAGATAGAGGAGAGGAGGAAGAGAGGGGAACCAGACCTAGCGTAGAGCAGAGCACTCATCCGTTTGGAATCTTCATCGACGACCACGACAACCACCGACCTGGGTGTTCACCAATGAGAGCCGTTGACCATCGATACCACCGTCCACTCTGTTCGGAATCTCTACCATCATCTTTGCCATAACAAATTCCATAGCATTGGAGTTTGTTTTTGTTCCACCCAAGACCATGTCCTATACTCACAGATTGACATTTCATTATAAAGCAAAAGATATTAGTACCATGAACAAGACCTGTCATAAAGAATTACTGAATGAATTATTGAATGAATGAATGAATTTCATCACCTCTTCCATATTTTGTATTACTGAATGAATTTCATGACTTGCCATATGGAAAAGTTCTTGTGCTTGATGGCATTGTTCAGTTGACTGAGAAAGATGAATGTGTTTATCAGGATGTGATACCCCTGTTCCGTAGTATGTTAATTGGTCCTTAATATGAGTATGTTTATGTGTCTAATATGATTTTGTGTGCCACTATGTGAAAATATGTGGTTTTGAATTTCTATTTGTTCACCGTAGAAATATCCGTTTGATTATCTACTTTGGAAATTAAATTGAAGGCCTTATCGGCCACGGAAACCGAAATTGGTCGCGCCATTATGATTGACATAATTTTTAGAGCCTACGGTGAAGTTTAATTGAAAAATTGATTCGAACCAGATTAAGTTGATTAAATTGGTGAATTAGTGCCCAATTATTTATTATTATTAAATTGTGACTAGTGGGAATTCATGTAGAAATGCACTATACACTTATTCCTACACTTGAGCTCAAAATCTGATTTTGTGCCTTGAGAGAGAGAAAGAGCCGGCTATAGAGAGAGAAAGGGAGAGACTTGTGCAATTTTTGGCTCGAGCTTGGGAATTTGAAGATTGAACTCAAGAATTGGTGTCTGCTCGAGCGGGGACGTTGACGCTTGAGCGGGGAGCCATGTAGAGAGGCCTTCCGCTCGAGCGCTAGAGTGCACGATCGAGGGTAAATTCGACCTAACCAGTACTTTTGCAGGCCTCAAGGGTCCGCTCGAGCAGGAAAGTCTACGCTCGAGCGGGGACCCTGTTTTCTGAAATTTTGAAAATACATTCTGAGTTCCATTTTCCGTTCTCTTTCACTTCTAAGTACTCTTAGGCATGCATTAAGCATTGTAATTGAGTTAAAGAGATAAGAATGAAGCCTAAAGAGGAAAGTGTGATTTTAGAATGGATTGAATTGTTAGTGACCCTTTTGGGTGCATGGAATGTGTAGGGTCGAGCTCCAGGGCAAACCAACCAACCGATCACTGTGAGTAATATCTTAACAAAGATATCTGATATATGTTGTTGTCCAATTGCTTACTTCTATTTAAGTTTTTTAAGTTCATTGATTCGATTGGTGGACAATGTTTGCTATACCAAATGATTGGGCCAGAGGCCATTTTGACAAGAATGAATGGATGGGCCAGAGGCCGTTTTGACATGAATGGATGGGCCGAAGGCTGTTGTGACATGAATGGATGGGCTGAGGGCCGTTTTGACATGAATGAATGGGCCGATGACCGTTTTGACATGAATGAATAGGCCAAAGGCCGTTTTGACATGAACGAATGGGCCAGAGGCCGTTTCGACATGAACGAATGAATGGGCCAAAGGCCAGTTAGTCATCTGAATGGGCCAAAGG